AGATTGTTTTGCTAACCTAATCAGCTGGATGTTCACTTTCTTTCACACATCTGGATACCCGGCATCGCAGATAATCTGTTGCACAAATAATTCTGCTCCTGCCATTGTTTTCATGTTTATGCAAGCGAATGTGAAAAACGTCTATCGTCCCATCGAATTTCCACTCACTCTGTCCAACCCCTCCCCCACCTGATGGCCTGTCCACCCGCCAGTTTGTAGGCTCGCTTGCAACCGGATCCATTCGCCTATTCGCGTAGGCCTCTATCAGCCACCGTAATCAGTGAATTATAATCCCTATAACCTAAATCTGATCAATCGGAAACGGTCACCTTAAGTGGATAATAGCTCGACAACCGAGACTATGAATCTCGTGATAGATGTATTGAGTTAAATTAACAAGCGAATCATCCACACACAAACTTCACCCCTGGGGTTGAGTTTTTATACTTGTGAAATAATTCAGACGCTACCTTGGTCTAATCGTGCATCAAACATGATGTTTTCGAGTTGTTAGTTTCAGTCGCATATTATGACTTGCTTCTTCTAACCCCTGGGAGCGAGAAGAGGAGTGCTGTTGTCCTCGCCAATGGATTCCGTCGTATGAAGGTGAGACGTTTCCATGGGTATCGAGTTTGATTGACCGCCACAGGTATATATTCTAAACATAGAATTGTGTGGCTGCTGTTTTACCTGCCTATGTCCACGTGGCGATCAACAACAACCTTCTCATAATGCCTAAATAACCTTTGACATGTCAATTCACACCTATGTCGAACAGAAACACTGTCCTGTCTTGATGAGTGCCCCATGCAGAAGGCCACTGCATAGACAGCTCACCTTGGCTGCGACATTGTTCTCCACGTCGATCAGCGATTTTTCGGAGATCTTCGCATTAGAATCCGTCGGACAAGAGCTAGTGATGGTAATCAAATACACAATGTTCCATCTGCCAATTTCGCTAACCGGAAGTACAGCATATCGTAGGATGGATTTCCGTAATTTCATACTGTAAGATTATAGGAGTTAATTTTCAAGAAGTTCATGTATAAACTTTTCCTTGCTTGTTAAAATGCGGGACAATACAGTAAACAGTGATACCGGTCAATAGGCAACGCAAATTGTAGCTGGTTATGACAAGTATATGGATCATGAACGAGACGTTGGCTGGGGGCGTTAGGGAGAAATCGCACCAGATGATACATACTATATATATATATTGTATTGTATTGTATTGTATTTGTAACTTTTGTAAGCATATATGCTTACATTTCAGTTAAACCTTCACAGTGACTTCAGAAAGGGTGAGGTGATTCTACCGTTACAGACAAACAAGGTTTTCATTGGACAGCACAAGTTAAAGATTGATTTAATCGTGTCAGTGAACAGATTGATAGATTTAAAAAGCGAAGGACAAGAACCAAACCAAGACTGAACGATCACAATAGAACGGTTGAGAAGAGAGATACGGTTGGGTGAAAAGTCCCTTAGATGAAACTTTATCTGAACGTGTGAACGCTTGAACGCTTGAACGTGTGAATGCTTGATAAGAAATGCGAGATTATACCTTAGGTCTAACAAGAAGAATACTATGGTCACTGGTAGAAACCGGGGCCATTAGTTTGAGAGAGAATAAGTTGGGATGGTTTGTGATCACTCTGTTCAGCACAGAACTGCCTCTGGTGGGAGAATAAGAAAGGTCAGATAAACCAAACAGAAGCAAGGGAGAAATACTTGCATGATTGAAATCACCAACAAGTAGGTGGAGATTTTCATCTAATAATGGAACTAGGAATCAAAGAAAGCAGAAATGTCGGTCCGAGTACACGAGGGAGATATATACACATTGGTGATGATTGTACTTTTGTGAAGAGAAAATTTAGGGTGACAACGAACAGACAAACAGTCAATGCACTTTTCAGAGTAGTTACATATAACTTCTGACTTGCCACACCAGAAAACATTGATGTAAGTAGCCACACCGCCTCCGGTTTTTTTTAATGTATATACTGATGATATATACTAATGAAGATCACAACTTTGTGATCCGAATGTGCAGGGTAGTAAGAGCAATACGTTTAAACGCAAGAAGGAGCAAATGAAAGGTCAGGAAAGTTTGAAGGAGACTACTGGGGTTACACGACAACCTATTTAGTTGCATGCTGAAATGAAAACGGCCTTTGGTTGTGAATATGGAATGATAAACGCTCCAGTTTAGTGCCATGTCATGATTGAGTTTTGACAAAGATTTGATTTTAGTTCAAATAACCAGTGTTAGTTGACATACGGACGAGAGGGAAAGTTGGCAGTGTAGGAATCATCTATACATGTCTTCTTTGTTTACCTTGCTATTAAGCGTACGCGTCTGTCTCCTTGTGTTCATCCCGATTCCCCTTGAACGGCAAATCGGGCCATGTTCCGCTGAGACCTAAGGATTGGGTGCGATCAACTTTTGAGCCGTTGTCGCATGATGTTGCTGTAGGATACATGAGCTACACCTCAAACGGATGAAACAACGCATCAATCGGTCTTGCTCGACCGATACGCGCGTAGTTGTCGGCCAGATTAACGTCTATGCGAGCTTGTTGCGAGTATCGGTTCCCGATCATTGTTGGGTTATGCCATATCGCGTAAATTCAAAATGAGAAACTGTTTGATCAACTACCCGGCGTTCTACCTGTGAGGTCTCGGATTCAATCCCCAGTTGGGTCGATGGATTCACACTGCTGATGAGATCCAAACAGGTTGAAAAAGCTGTCTGATGCTTGCCAGCTTTTCAGTTCACGCCTCATTTACACGACGAACTGATCATATAAACAAAAATCAAGTCGTTCATTACTCTCATACAGTGAATCCGGATAACGTTGTTTATCTTGCACCCCTCCCCTTCCTCAAAACACACGTGGGTCATTTGCCCACTCCGGTACTATCACAGTCGATCCACAGTTTGAATGTTCAATCTTGACCTCTCAGCTAAAATGAAGTAGTTCAGTTAGCTACATGTTCGTGCTCCTCTAAATGAAACTGGTCAGATGATTACACCGCTTGGTTACTCAGAGTTTGTCACCTAGTTAAACCAACCATAATGTGTGGTCCTTTTAGTTGTCAGGACGCCCTATCGATGCTAATCCCATGTTAGTAGTGATCGTAATATCCAAATGATGTTATCCTGTTACGAATTTCCCTCACTTTATCATTCGTGTGACCTTTGCCATAAATGACTAACCAAGTCCGGTCACAATAATGGGTCCAACTCAATAAATTTCCCTGCGATAAGATGTGAGTTGAATGACGCCATTGTCTAATCCACCGATCAGACAATGATCGTGCGATCTAGGATAGAAGCTCACTCGTAAAAACCTACAAGGCTGACATATGAACTTTAATCCATATGTAGATTAGACCATCAGACAGTGCAACAAGTTCCCCCCTCAATTTCTACATCATCAAGTTACCTCACTTCGTTTCCCGTTCTTTTTTACAACTACAGGACTACCTTGGACACTGATCCACATCGTACAGATCACCACGAGTGCACACACACAACCATACACACACACCCATCCGGAATTGCCTACGAGAAGTCTGTCTAAGAACGATCTGTAACGCATACGTGAATGTCCAAATGATTAATGTATATTCACGTTCCCAACAGAACACACTATGCACAAAATGGGTGACAGAGTAACCAATGGATAATTTCTGATTTGAACAGTCCATTAATTGGCGCAAAAACTGCAGAATTTTCTCTTGGTACCCCTTCCCCATTTCTGTTAGAGCGTATTCGTGTACATATGACAAGGAAAAGAAAAGCAAATATTTGGTTGCTACTTTTCATTTGATGCATTGTTTCGATCAAATGTCATAAATTGGTCGCCAAGGGCAGCAAAATACACGACAATCTTATTCCTGTGAGTTGAATCTGCGGGCTATGTATCATTCATTGAAAAGTGCTCAGTACGGTGCCCGTCAGTGGAACGTGCTAGAAGATGTGATACTTTCGAAGATACATGTTTGCGGATCATGCATCTTAGCTGGCATTTTGAATCTGATATTTATCCAATTTGAGGCACACTATCCAACTTCCGCGGTCACCGGCGAATTCCTCTCAATTTTGCCCCAATGATTTGACTGAAAAGCGTTCTGACCATAGTTTTCGTGCACCGCGTTCACAATGTGATGCTCAAAATGATTATTGTCGAAAATGTTTTGTATATGTGCCAATAAGTGGGGACCTTTTGATGGCCACTGACATTCTGCACTACCAGCTGATCAAATCACCTCATCCGGCTTCGAATTATTATGATCGATTAAGTCAATCTTAGCGGAAAAGACTATCGATTAAGCGTTGGTAATCCGTTCTGGCTGGCTCGAACTGGTAAGATTCGTTATCACCTCAGTTCGGCCGACCCGATGAGACACAAAGATATATTGTTTTCGATCCAAACTTAACAAACCAGGGTAACAGATGATTGAAGAGTTTGTCTGTTCGTGGTGAATTAATCGGTTTAGTCATGATAATAATCGATTTCTGTTGTTAATTGACTGTGGAGCACACTTGGAGGGAGATTTATCCAGGATGGTCCGTATGAAAAGTTCCCTTTGTATTGTTTCGCGTATAACTCACACAGAATAATTGTCTGGTTTCAGTTTGTTCTAATTTCGTGCGAATTTTTTAGAATCAATCAATCATTTGGACGGCGGTCTACAACTTTCCTCGAATCTCTCAGATCTGTTTGACTCTTTCGTGTCCGGCATTCACTTAGAACGGGTCGAGGACAAGTCAGAGAGAGCTGTACTATTTATGTTTGTACTATTTACTCACATTATTTGTTTGTGTGTGTGTGCGAGGTTCTGTCAACGACTGGTTTAATAAGATCCATTTTATCACATAAACACGCCGAAAAACTTATCATGTGACTTTAATCAGATTGCCTTTATTATCGACCCAATATACGACACATCGATTCCCCTAGTGATGACACAGTTATTACGCTTTTCAGCTATCAATGGTTAGTGGACGGAAAAGAGGCCAATTGGATTAAACCATTCTATCACGTGAACACATTGGCACCCGTGTCACATTCCGTCAGTCTGGAATCCCCGTGGCCGAATGCATCCAGACCGGCACGTTCAGAACACACACGTTGGTATCTGGGTCAGCTGGGTGTCACTGTGGAATTCAAGCCGGGCGTGTATCAGTGCACCGCGTGGAATACCTACGGTCGTGTGATTTCTTCCCCAATCCACGTTCGATTTGCCCGTAAGTTCTTCTTCCAGTGGATAACCTTGACAACCGAGAGCAAAATTTTGCATTCTGGGCTCGACTGACGTAATTTCCGTTAATTTGAATCGCCTAAGGTATAACGATGAAATCAAATGCTATGAGGTTTCGGCGCTGATCAATCAGTATTCATCACTCTGATACTCTAATCGCTTGCTGCGAAACAATGAACCGTGAAAATGCTAAAATGATCCGCAGAATGGTTAGGATCGAGCATACTGTTCGTAAAGACGGCGTGCATTTGACTAATTCCAACAAATTCGGGGCTCCATATCGAACATTCACTGTGACATCAAACCTTGTATGAAATTAGTGACATTCATTTGATAGAAAATGCAGCTCCATCGCTGAGTTCGTAGAATATTCCGATCTAACAATCTAACAATCGTGCTCGTGACTATCGATAGATATACATCGTGAAAGGTGATATTGAGATACCTCATTTTTCTTCGGTTGGATAGTGTGCATGTACATTAGTAATAGTAGTAGTAGTAATAGTAGTACTACTAGTAGTAGTAATAGTAGTAGTACTCACAGAATTGGGAATGCAAGCCACGCACTAAGAATTACCGCACACGAATCAAGTAAAAAGCTGTGACGAACTGGATTACGGAAGTACTGGACAGCAATGGCACGAGATCGCAATATCCCAGGTGAACGAAACGCGAGAAAAAGGCCACAGGAATGTGAGTACGTAGTTGGTTTATTGGATTAAATGAAAGCGATTATATAGTATGCACAAAAGATTATTGGTTACATAGGCTTCCACCAATCGGATTGCAATAGTACTTGCATACTTTTGATTCTGTCTGCACTGCCTAGGATTGGCTTGCACAATCCAGCAATGACGTGTAATCGGAAGCCATGCGCGTGTCATTGACGTCATCTTTCAAATTTGATTGATCGCAAATGTCCAGAAACTGTAACGCGCCGCTCCACGGTAGACGTCACCACGTAGACCTGGATCTCCACAAACAACCACTACCATCGCCACCACCACTATCACCATTACATCAATCTTGGAAGTTCGTTAAATGACACCACACATGAACGTGTACATAAAATATCAGTTCTATCGAGGCGCCCAACATTCTACCCCCAGTGACTGCGAAAAGATCAAGCGATATGAAAAATATGCGTTCAGTTCTTTCTGACAACAGTTGATGTGTGATGGAATGGAATCAGGGGAAAAATCTTCAGAATGTGTGGTTTAGGACCCGACAGTAGTGCTAGCCCTTATTTAAATCACATTCTTTCTCGTTATTATTCTGACTGGAAAAGGTCAACTATGGTTGAAAGAATGCAAAGGAGGTCACGAATTTGCATTCTGATCAATATCTGAACAATCGGTAATATGTTCTTCTGTATTTTCATACGACAGAATGTATCGCGTATTACGCAATTTTCATTTCGATTGGTATGCATAACTAATGCCTCTTCCTTTCATTCCTTTTGGTTCAAATGACTGTTCAAATGATGAATTCCACTGTTTCTCCATCTCCATTTTGCTCTTCCGGGCGTGTGTGTGCAGGGCAACCATAATTGCGAAAGTAATGGGGATATACAAACAACAGTCAATAAAACCATTCCGCTCTATAAAGCGGTCAAACTGCTTGAAAGAAATTGACAGTGACTAATAGGTAAGATAATAATTACAGATTAAACCTGTGCCCGGTAGCATCCGAGATGTGGTTGAGTCTTTCCATTGGTCCGTTCGCTCGGTGCGTTTGACCCTAGCGGACCGCGTCGGTGAGCTTTTTCACTTGGCGATGGCGTTGGCGTCAATGAGTAGACTGGCTTGTCAATGCCGAGACTGGTCGCTGTCTGATGGGGAGATTGTGTCTACAGCATTGTCGCCCATGCGAGTTGGTTGGTGATCAGATGGATGGGTAGATGGATGGATGGAATGATGTGACTTATTGAAATCTATGCGAATCGGTGCACCCGAGCGGAGATAATGCGAGCACACCAATTACAGAAATCTACTGGTAAGGAATGAAAGGCCAAAAAAGGATTAACTGATCTCATTATTAACTATAGAGTCAGGTGACATTATAGCAGACCATTGGTATATATGTTTCGACGGGACGAATCGCTCTTGGTGGTAGAGTTCAGGGAGCCAGGTAGGTAGAATAAACGAGAATTTTATATAGAAAACCAATTTCAAGTTATACAATATTATTCTAAGTTCTTAACGAAAGAAGGAGATCACCTAAAATTGCTTAATTTGTTGATTTTATTGTTGAAATCGTGAAGCGTTCACCAGCTTCGATGGTATTCGAACCCAGGCATGGACGGCGCCTACGTTTCTGTTTAGCGCACGGTCTACTAGCTGAGGTGCGAGGTCACATCGATTGCACTGTTCTTTTCACGTTCAAATCGCACATTCAACTTCCACAGGCCTATGGTATCCACCAGGTAGCATGAAAAGGCACCTAAGACAGGTGTTCCTTGTGATTCACCGAAGTCCACCGAATGAACTTCCAAGGCAATTTTATTTCTTCAGATTGTAGTTTGGCAGATCTGAAGTCATGTTGGAATCGTAAATAGTTTAGTTCGTTGATTTTAGTCCATTCCAATCAGCTTCCACGTGTTTTCAATCTCTGAGATATCTAGTCATTTCAGGTTAGATAGCAGAAAGATGTGTAAATGGTTTTGATGTTTTGTAGGGAATGTTTCGATCATACATACTGAGCAATTGTTACAACTCCCAGTTAGTGTCAGTATTATTTTGTTTGAATCTGTGCTGTGAGCGCTCTGGCAACCACAAGCAGAAGCAGCACATTTTCACATTCAGTCAGTCAGCCATCGCATCCTAACCGCGCACCGCCTTTTTCAATCGGTCGGAACGTTCACAGGATTAGGTATCATTCGGGACCGCCGGGAACAGCGTGTGACCGTACATCCAGGACAACCGGTTCGCCTAAACTGCTCCGTGACTTCTAGCGAGCCGGCTGTCACTGTGCGTTGGATGAGTCGGGCGGAAGATGGCCTAACAGAGTTCGTACGGGAGAATCGAACGCGGGCCACGGATGATGATGGTGAGTTCTCATCGGGAAACCTGGAAACTTGAAACTGTAATAAACGGAATGAAAGCGAATCTGACTTTACCAAAATAATGCTACGTGTGGGTAAAATTTCCATAAATTTACGCATTTATTCGCCTGATAAACGCTTCTGTGCCGCGCGTGGAAATAGTTTATTTGGTTGTCGTTCATACAAATATACTATCCGTCGCTAAAAATACAAACAATTACCGATTACCGGCCCACAGTAGAGAATTGCACTTTCATAAGAGCGAGAACAAACAATTTCACAGAAAAGGATGAATTCAACGGAGGCCGTGACCATTCGGCGTCATAAACCAAACTTATGCAAACATTTAGTTTGTGGCCAGCCTCATCCTATCATAGCAGGGCTGTCACCGTGATTGCGATCGATAATTGTGTTCTCTCGCCCGTTCTCTTTGATCAACCCGACTGTGACTGGTGAACTTTGATCTTCTTTTTCTTCTTTCTTTTTCATTTTACTTCCTTTTATTGGATAAACGAAGATACAATTTTCAGGAAGGGAGAAGCAGCCAATCAAAGGGCTGCAATTCAACACACAAATGGAGAATGTCTGGCGGTGGTTGTAGGATTCGACCACACATTCCCGGGGTGATAATTTGGGGACCTTGCCACCGGGGCACCACCGTTTTGATATTTAAAGATTTATCATTGTCCTTATCGAACTTTCAACTGAATGGTTGGTGCGCATCTGAAGGTATAACGTGAAACATCTTTGAATTCAACCTGTTCTCTGTGGTAATGCTTGTTCTCACTGTTATGAAAGTGCATTTCTCCCCAGTGGGCCTGACAATCCGTTATTGTTCGTCGTTTCATTCATGAACAGTATATTTGTGTGAAGGACTACAAGCAAAACGAATGTTTCCCCATTGAATAGTTTATTTATCTGCCGCCCAAGTATGTTCGAGTCCAACCATAAACAAATCCAGCCGATTCGTTGATACATAAGCACAAGTGGCATAAAGTATCATAGGGGCATTACAGGTTCACGTGTATTCAAAACTCGTCGGACAGAAACCACATGCGAATCACTTTTTCCAGATAGAATTTTTAACGAATCAAACAGCAGAACAGTTTTGTATAATTTACTCTAGAGAAACTTTGTTCATCTGAATGTCGTTGGTAATGGACCACGAGTTACAGAACACTCTGTTTGTCTGCACAGTTACGGTTTTCATCGCCTCGGCGAGCACACCATTTTGAATGCTGTGACTCGAAATCCAGTTTATGACAAGTGACCAACGATCACTGATGTCGGTGTGCGATATTGGGTATAACGTTTGACCCTAAGGTTATCATCATTTGTTTACCCACTGTGGGTTTAATCGAAGATTATCTAGAGGCTACCAATCGACATTCTTCATTTCGGTGACAAAGCTCCAATAGAAAAACAGATGCAAGTGACTGGATGTGATGTAGTGCGAACTGGGTGAGCTGGCATTCTATTGTATATGTATACCAAAACGGTTTTTCACCGTATCTTATGGTCATTTGATGGATGATCTTGGGAAATAGTTGCGCAACACTCTAGCATCATCATCAACCTCATCATTTACAGAACAAACTTAAGGTTCTACTTTTGGACATTCAGCGCATTGAACGTTCGGTTCACTCTCAACAATTAGTTCCCAGATTTATTTTCATATAGACTTAAGATTAATTATCCCCGGATGCGACCTCATTTTGTGTTTGTTCACTCACCTGCTCCTGTGGAGCAAGTTAAGAGGGTCGAAAGGTGAGTTGTCTATCTGATAGAATCAAGGAGTAACCTCCAAGTTGGTTTAAGCAGGGATTGACAAGGACCGAGGCTAGGGACCACTTTACTGAGTCTAATCACGCAGACACTGTGTTTGAGGCTTCCCGTTCCCTCTATACGATCAATGGTAGGTTATTCGAAACGGCCTATTTCAGAATTTTATCGGCAGCCGAGGTGGTTGCCACCCGTATCCACAATCCCCTCCCCTGGTTTGACACCCAGAAACAATCCGTTAGAACACTGGTCTTACCATGACCGTCCACCAACAGCCTACAGACGTAACCAGAGTTCATGAACTCTCACTCATTCACCTAATGAGCCATTCACAACCACCCTTCGTCTTCCACTTCAAACGCATACACACACAAACATCAATTATCACAATTCCATTCTCTGCTGACGAGTCCCAAACAGAACGAAACAGCTGTCCAGTGCTCTTTGTCGGTTATCACAAACACTTCCATCGCATTCTATTCTCTCTTTTAAATTCCGGTTTCCTTCTCAGATAGATGTTTGCTTTCTTTGCCTGTTTATTCTTTTATAAATAACTTTAAATATTATAGAAACTGTGATGAAAGATCCATTTTTGTTGGGCTGTTCTTTAAACTGTCTCAAAACCTATCTATAAATGTGGACGAATACGATTGAAAGATTTCGACAATCTTTCACAGTCTATACATATTATGCCCGACTGAAATGATTGCATGAGTGCTTCATGCGCTTGTGAAACTGATTACCTTTTGATCTACAGTGACACATTAGCCTTAACCACATGATCGCATCCACCGAACGAATTCCCATGACAATAGATCATTGTTGAATTTCTCTTTGCAACAGTATCGTCTAGGGGTGTGTGTGTGGGGGGAGGGGGCGAGTACGGATGCGAGTGGCGAAGCCAATCAAGACAAAGAACAATGTTTCACCTAACAGCTTAACCTTACGAGTAGCGAGAATAAATAAACTGGCTTGCATCATGTACAATCCTTGACTCTCCCAGAGACCTCACCTGCTGTTTGTTATTGTATTCTGAAGCTTGAATAAGCCGATATGAAAAATGCAGACACCTTTAACCCTCTGTCCTCTATTAGCTTGATCATGAGAGTACCTGGTCTTGTTGCGTGGTGTGACTTCCCCCCTCCAGACCATGATAATACCATCGGACCATTATATAATAATGCAATATTTTTTCACTTCCTTTTTCATTGAGTATGCAAATACACAGTCGGTTTTTCACGTACGCGGTTGCGAGCACAATTAGAGCCTCTGAGGAAATACAGAATTAAGGATGATGGGTGTTAGTGGCTGGAGTTTAACTACTTACATCCGAGTAGCTCTTATGTTCCACTTGAATAGCACCGCCCAAAATGATTGTCTGTTAGTAGAAGATAGATGAGCAAAAATCCACCAGTATGAGTGAGATTTTATTAAGCGCTGAGAATCAATTGTCAACATTATGTATTTAGCTTATATCAGCACCACCACGACTCACTGTTGACACCACCACCACCACCACCACCATTACGACTATCACCATCACCAGATAACTTGAATATTCAGGAGTGGGTGATTTTCGAAGCCAAATGTTAAGTTCTTGATTGGTACATTCAGCACATTGTTACCCATTACCGAACATCCTTATTGGTTTCTCCACCTTATGTGCTCAACACCCCGAAAGATATTCTAGGCAGTCCGTGTTTTCTCCATTGATTCTATTTTTCATTTGCCCAAAATACTACTGCGCATCCACATGAGCGTAAGACTCTCGGGCGGTGGTGGCTTGGTGGTAACGTCACCAAATGAACACCTTGGGGAAGTGTGTTCGAATCCCACCACCATCGCCGGACTTTCCTCATTGTTGATTGGCCGTTTCTCCTTTTTGAAAATGGTGTCTTTGTGTATTCAATAAAAGGAAGTAAAATGAAAAGAAAAGCATTAAAAGGAGAATACAGCGATATTAATGACTGTTTCCAATTGTTTATTCATACTATCTTTTGAACATTTGGAACTTCCTCATCACATGCAGCTTTCTAGGTCCGGCAGCTTTGATTTTGTTGTGTTTATTTTGTTCCACTCATAATTATTGAGTGCAATGGCCTGATGTATACGGATGAAGAACAGTTTATGACACAATTGTTCGCTTGAATACCTTCTCACCAGGCGGATCACACGAGATCACTCCCGTTCCGTTCATCTGCCCCCTCCCCTCCCCCGAGTTAGTCGCTAATCAAACCCCACCACAGCAGCCGCATTCACCACCATAAAAAAGGAGCAAGCACAATGCGTGAGTATGAAGGTGCTCACTGTTGTGCAACTGTGGCATAAGTTTCAGAGACCTGAGTTCGTCTTCAACGGATTGAGCTGAAGGCCTGTCGACTGGCTGTCGATCTGACTGATCGACATTCACGCCAGAACGATTATCTGATGATAGAATACGTTTGGATGTCCTATCAAGTGAATATATCCGCGCCATCCGTGAGCAGTCAGACAGATGTGTGGGTTTGTGCGTGTGTGTGTGTGTGTTTAGGCGCTCAGACGTATGTCTATGCATTTCCACTGGTTTGATCAAAAAGAGATTACCGCGAGAAGATTAAGCGGTAGACGCCCTCACCCATCGGACGAACGATACGTTCAGAAGTTGACAACGTAGACGTGTTGCTGACAGGAACTTCGAGGTATAATCTAATAGAGACATCGGCTGATGCCTTCGTTCAAACTGTCGTGGCTTCATACATCAATTGTTTTAATCGGGACAACGCGTGCGGCGTTTATGTCTGTTTTATTAACAGGCGGTCGTTCAAGTTACTCTTTTTGTTTGCCACCAGTAAGAACAACTTCCGTTATTTTGCCCCGGCGCGCCTCCCAATGTCTGTGAAGACCGGAAACCTGAAAAGAACGCTCTTCTTTCACTCAGAGTGTTTGTGCACACACACACGCGCGTGCGCGTGTGTATGTGTGAATGGGCGTGTTTGCGCAATCCAATGCGGTCGCGACTATAAAAAACACGCCCACACGTTTTTGCATCGGTATGGTCAAGATTTCAAATGGTTTGAGAAAATTTCGCTCGATTTATTTTATTTCTATCCCTTTGGACGCCACCCTCCCCGTGTTTCGTACTTGTTTCCCCGACCCACTTCAGTTTCATAGGTGACCTATCTGTTCACAGTAATAAAGTTGTTTAGTAAAAAGTATCGGTATGAATGCCAGCAAAAGCCGCAAC